CGCCTGGCCCCGCGTGCTGTTGGGAGTGACAGCGGCAGAAAGCTCTGGGGACCCCAGCACTGTGTCCAGGTTCCTGAGACCACGTGTGGTCCGTGCCCGCCCTGCGCAGTTTAAACTGGACGTTACGTGTACATTGTAGATACACCTTCATTGTGTTCTAATTTATCAGAAATGGATTCTCTTTAGAAACTTCTCGTTGACTTGGTACTTGAAAGGGGAACCCTTGATTGAAGCGGGGACCTCGGACGGGAGGGGCTGCCTGTCCACGCACAGAGGACGTAAAGGAGGGGCAGCATCCTCCTGTTTTTCCCTCACGTTCTGAACAGTGTTGACGAGCAGCTAACTTGGGTGGTGACGGAGCCGCAGGCCAAGGCCGCCCCGTGGCCTGTGTTCTCAGCCCTGGGGCCCGCCACGCGGAGCCCTCGCTGATTTGGGTCTAGCCCAGCGATGGCGAACCTTCTGAGCTCGGCGTGTCAGCGTTTTGAAAAGCCCTAACTTAACTCTGTGCCGGGTCACATATAGAAATTTTTTTATCTTTGCAACCATAGTAAAACAAAAGTTTGTATTTTTGATATTTATTTTATATATTTAAATGCCATTTAACAAAGAAAAATCAACCAAAAAAAATGAGTTCACGTGTCATGGGTTCGCCATCACTGGCCTAGCAGGTCTTGGGGGTGGGGTCCAGTGTGGGGACTGGGCAGCCAGTGATGGCAGCGCTGCGGAGGCGGGCAGCCCTCCCCTCCTACCTCCTGCCAAAGGCCTGTCACTGGCTCCGGCACGTCCTGAACCCAAACATCACAAGGGGAGGCAGAAGGGAAGCCCCACAGCAGAGCCTCCAGCTGCCCAGGGCGCCCCCCACAGGGCTGTGCCCCCACCAGCAACATGTGGGAGGAGCTTGAAGTGCACAGCCAGAAGCCGAGTGATAAAGGCTAAGCAAGTCATGGAGCTTGGAAAGGAGGGAGGGCACCTGATGGCCGTCTGCCTTTTTGTCTTTTAGCACCTGTTTCTTTTCAGCGACACTCAGTCGGTCTGTCCCGAGGGGGAGACGGCCCGCAGCCCCCAGCACCAAGCTCCGGGCTCCTGGGCGGCCTGGGGTCGCGCAGTCAAGGCAGGTCCACCCCCTCCCCCATCCCTGCGCTCACGTCGGGGGCTGCGGCGAGACTGGACTCCTCAGTGACCCCTCGGTCCGGTCAGGCCCAGAACCCGTCAAATGTGAACAGTCCTGGCTTCAAACGACGGGAGGACCCCCAAGTTAGAGGCGTCGGTGAGCACGCTGGGCCTCTTGGATTCACATCCAAGATCTCAAACGGCGGCCCTGACGTGCCAGCTGCCAGTGCAGTGCCAGGCCCGGCCCCGGGGACAGCACCGCGGAGAGCGGACATCTCCCAGCTCCCCAGGATACCAAAGATGAGAAGGGACAGCGGCAGTGGGTGGGCGGACACAGCCCCCGCCCCTGCC